ATTTTCTGTCTAGATCTGACTATTCTCAGTGTGTTGTAGGAATAAAATCATGCAGCATTTGTTCTTTGTGGCTGGCTTATTTCATTTAGGATACATGGATGAGTCTTCAGAGCTCGTCCATGTTGTCACATGAGTTAGAATTCCTTTCCTCTCTAAGCCAAAATGCTATTGCTGTGTGAATATCCCAGACTTCCTTCATCTGCTCACCTCTTGGTGTATACTTAGTTTTTCCCACATTTTGGAATCATGAAGTGTGTACATGAATATACAGTGTTACAGCTTCTGCCTTCAATTCTTTTGGGTATATACCTAGAAATGGAATTACTCACATGGTAACTTTTTTAAAAAAGGAATTGCAAAACCATTAGTTTTCTGTAGTGGCTACACCATTTTTTTCATTCCCACCGGCAGTGTGAAAGAGTTACCCCTATCAGCATCGCTGAGCACACAAGCAGCGTGCAAGGGTCACCCCCTCATCGGCATCCCTGAGCTCCATGCAAAAAAAAAAAAAAAGGTTATTTTGACAGAAAATTCCTCCAGAAAATAGGGCATATGCTATTCAAGGTCGCTTGGTGCCTGAATAAGAATTTGTACAATCTTGACAAGGACTTATGAATTTTAAGGTCACTGAGTCAAAGTAAAAGTTCTTTATTTCCTGTTGTTCTCATAAACCCTTTGTACTCTGTTAATATCTTTATCTGTTGGCAGTCATCAGGAATCATATTTCCCAATATTACTTCTCCTGTTAGAATTTGCATCATACATTACTCAGCAAAAGTAAAAACCAAATGATGAATGAAAAGTGAGTGACAAATCTTGAAAACTTAGTACTGGTAAAATGCTAAGTGATAGTATCAAAATGGCCATGTTAGGAGGGCCCGTGGCCCCATGTGCCAATCAAAATCATGGTTCTGTGACCCTAATATGTTACATTACACAGCCTCTGTCCCCAGGGCCTTCCTTTCTTAACCTGAACAGACAACAGTCCTTTTAGAAAGGTGAACTCCCAAGGATGTCCATTTTTCAGCCCTTAGATAACCTAACGAGAGTGGCCCAGTATCTCCCTTGGTAAATGAAACACATGCATCCCTACCACAAATCAGAGTATTTGTGGCGATGGATGACCCTGCTAACCCTATCCATGAATCCAAGGTTAATAACATCTATAAATTTGGATTCTGTACCATTAGTAGTCAATGTATGGTGCTCTCGAAGACTCAGTTTATTGCTTATTTTATTCATTGATTTATTGGTAAATGAAGGGTAAAGAGTGATGAAAGAATTTGTTGCATGGGATTTAATGTCAAACAGATGGAAGCTAAACTGAGGATTGTATCTAATAATCATCCTAGGCTTCCTGTCCTTGTTTATACATAGTAGCTAGCGGGACTGTTCTGATGAATGGCAGAGAGGTGAGCAGGCTTGTCTGGCACATGGTGAAGAGCCTGTGGCTTCACTCTTGCCTTCCCTGAAGTGATAGGGAAAGCGAATGGGAGGTAGTCTTCTCTTGAGGATTCTGCCTCCAGTGAAATTTCTTTCACTGAATTGCTTATAGCAATAGAATCAGAGTACAGGGTCTTACCATGTAGCCCAACCTGGCATCAAACTTGAAATCCTCCTGCCTCAGCCTCCTCAGTGCTGGGATTGCTTCCATGCTCAGCCTCAAGTAAAACTTCTTCTGGTTTATTTTTAACTCATTGAGAAAGGCCATTTATGCTTTGCTTTGTAAAACTATCTGCTCTCTAGAGAAGGATTGCCTGGAGAACGGTAATAGAGGCAGCTGTGTGCACAGGATAAAGAGTCATACCCTAGTCTCCTTCTCCCATTCAAGTACTAACCAGGCCTGCCCCTGCTTAACTTCCTCCATCTGACAAGATAAGGCATGTTCAGGGTAGTATGGTCATAGACATGTTAATCTCTTTTGGACAATTCTTTGAATTGTCACAAATTTCATCCCAAGTAGAAAAATGAAATTAGGTTGAACAGAAGAGGTAATTGTTAAATTTAGGGGCCTGTATCTCAATTAGTAATGTATAAGTTCAAATTACTATTTTTAGATGAAACTATTATCACTAAATTTCACAGAAATTAATTTTTAGGAAATGATGGGTTTAAGATGATTTTTCAGACTTCCACATGAAGAGTTACAAATAAATAAGAATAATGGACTCTTAGGTGACTGAAGAAAATTTATAGTGGTTAAGAAAAACTAGAGATAAGCTGAGTTTGGTGGCACATACCTGTAAATCCCAGCACAGAGACCCAGAGAGGAGGATCTCAAGTTCCAGGTCAGCCTGAACTACAAAGTGAGAACCTGTCTCAACTCAGAGCCGAACCCAAACAAACAGAAATAAATGACAATGTGAGATGCAGGAAGGGCAAACTTTCTTATGACTTTTCCTACATAAGATGTAAGTATCTGAAGTGTGATGAGAAATTCTTTTTCCTTATTGAGTCACATCAGTCTTCTGCCAAGATTTCTTGTAACTTGTGCAATAAGTGATTTCCCTACATGTGATTCAAGTTGTACAAATATGTAATCATGTTGCCTTTTATAATTTCAAAGGCCACGTGACTTGTATGTTACTTGACAGTTTAGGAAAACTCTGTGCTATCTGTGTATATACATACATACATACATACATACATACACATACACATGTACACACATATGTAGCATTTATATTCATAGTATGTGTCTTACTAGGGGGTATGTGAGAAACCAACTCAATCAGGGAACATATATGTACCTTCCTTTCCATTCATAACACTCTCTTCTCTGGTTTTCTACTTTAAACAGACAGAAACTAGGACCCAAATATATTTTAACATGTTTTATTTATATTTATTCATACAATGTCTTTGTTTTAAGTTATTTGGAAACTTAAATTTTTCATTTAACATGCAGTCTTGATTTTTATTGAATATAAAGATTTGTACAACAAACCCTAGAACAACTTTAAAAAATGTGGACTATAGCTGGGCGTGGTGGCGCATGCCTTTAATCTCAGCATTCAGGAGGCAGAAGCAGGCAGATCTCTGTGAGATGGAGGCCAGCCTGGTCTACAGCAAGTTCCAAGCCAGGTGGAGCTACAGGGGGACCCTGACTCAAAAAAATATTTGTATTATATGCTGCATTTTTTAAATTACTTTTTCAAATGGAAATAGCTTTTTGTGACTGATTAAAGAGCTAATCTATATCTAATGTAAAAAGAGAATGAATTGCTTTAAAATTTGTGGGAAAAATTACCTCTAATCTGTCTTTTACATGTCTCATGATTTCTTTAGCAGAAATTCTTAGAAGTAGAATTGACCAGATTAAATTCTCCTAGAAAGGACAAAGAACTTCAACTGCTGCTGGCAATATATTGATCATTTATGTCACTTCTTTGGGATTTCCCCCATGCGTTCTCTGCCCATACTGCTCTTAGCATCTTTAGTTCATTGATTTGCAGGAACTTTTTAGATATTAAAAATATTAAGCCTTTTAAAGATTAATACTTTCAGAGTCCCCCCCACCCCGGTTAGGACAGGTTACTCCGTACTCCAGGATGATTAACATTTATCTAAATTTTTGTTAGTGTTTTTATGGGTTTTGTTTTACCTTTAAACATCTAAGGATTTTGGAATATATTTAGCACAAAGTAAGCTATTCAACTTTTTCTGATGGATCATTGAAAAATCCATCTGCATTTTCTAAACTGCCAATGCCGCCTTTAAATAGTTCAAATGTATAAAACAGTAAGATATCTTTTATTTTTAGATAATTTTCTTTGTTGTCTTACATGTTTACTCTTAGACATGAACTTTAGAATAATATTTCCAAGTGCTTAAAAACTCCATTATTATTTTGGCAAGCAAAATTAAACTGTGTCATTGTATAGTTAATGAAGGTTTTGTAATGTTTAGTTCAATTTAAAAGTTAATTCAAATACAATATTCAGATGTATAGGATTCCTTCTAAACTCTCCCCTACTTCATCCATTCCCCACCCACTAAATATGAAAGCTTTGAGCTAGGAATGTAGCTTAGAAATGGAGTGGTCCTAAGGCCCTGGATTCCATTCCCAGCATCAGCAACACCATAACAAAAACAAATCTGGAGGCTGCACCCAGCATGTAGTCTAGGTGTACCTTAATGCATTCATCACTTTCCTTACAAGAGTGTTTGAGGCATGTTTCTGTGGCACTGAACACTTGTGTATATGTATAGAATGGGTTCATTCACAGACTGCTGCCACAGTTAGGTATCTAGCCTAACTCATCATTCATAAAAAGAGAGCATGAAAGGATTACCTTGCACTGATGTTGAGGTAGTTGACTAAAGGAATATTTGTACAGCACTCAGAATAGTACTAAGCACATGAAAAATGTGTAGTAGTAGTAGCTGTTACTGATAATATATAGCTGTTCAAAAGAGATGTTGCTGAAGATGCTATATAAATTAATGGTATTCTATGGCCTTATGAATGATCTTGTTTTGAGGGTTGTTTTGATTTTGTTTTGAGACTGTGTCTTGCTCTAGCCCAGGCTGTCCTGGAACTAACTGTGTGGCTCCGGGATGGCCTCATATTCATAGCAATCAGCCTCTGCCTCTGGAGTGCTACAATTACAGGTGAGCCACCATGCCCTGCTGTGAATTATGTATTTAAAAAAAAAATTGGCAGTATTGGGAATTGAACCTAGGGTTGCCACACATACTATACAAGTGCTTTACCACTGGGCTATAGCCCTAGCCCTTGAATTAAATATTCAAAAATTGTTATTGTTATGTATATGAGCATTTTGACTGCATGCATGTAATTGCGCCTGTTTGCAAAGCTGATGGAGATATGAAGAGGGTGTCAGATCACCTGGAACTGAAGTTCCAGACAGTTGTTAACTGCCATATTGGTGCTGGGAATTGAACCTGGGGAATAGTCAGTGCTTTTAACTGCTGAGTCATTTCTCCAGCCCCAATGAATTAAATCTTTTATCCAGAAAATATTCTTTAATTTCCAGGATTGAGTGTTTTGAGTTACTGTGTATATACAGTACTGGAATTGGACCCAGAGCCTCTCACATTCTAGGAAAGCATTCTACCACTAAGCTGCATCCTCAGAGCTACTTCTGATAGTCTCAAATACTCTGTAATTGCATTCTGAGATGTAAGTAAACCATTTTGTCTCTTTTCATTAGATTCTCGTGTGTGTGTGTGTGTGTGTGTGTGCACACGTGGAGACCAAAAGTTAATGTTGAAATGACTTCTTCAATTGCTTCTCCTCCCTTTTTTTTCATTTTAGACAGGGTCTCTTACTGAACCTGGACTGGGCCCACAGGCTCCCAGGATCCCCTGTCTCCTCGGTCCATTGCTGGGGTTATAAGGCATACTCTGCTATATGTGGGTGTTGACAATCTGAACTCGGGTCCTGATGCTTGCACAAGTATTTTATGCACTAAACCATCTCTCTAGCCTTCATTTGGGTATTTCAGATGGATAGTTACGTTACTTACTGGCTCACACTTTCAGGACAGAGTTAATAAGGCCACAGAGTTAATAATCAGTGCCACTGTCTTGTTAATGTTAATGAACTCTTGCTTTGCCATTAAGCCCCATGCTGGATTGTTAAACAAAACAAACACATACACACACTTAAGTGAATATTAAGTGTGTGCTATTACAAATTCTCTTGTGATAAAACTCATTGCTTCAAAATACACTGAATACAAGTGAAATGCCTTGGGAGAGTGGTTAAATGTATTATGGGATTGTGGTGGTGTCGTTTCTAATGTTTAATTATGGTGGTGTTGAAGTTTCTTTGTCATAAGAAAGGCCAATAGTGATATATTGATTTTTAAAAAAGCATATCACCAACAGTGTTATTGTTATTCTCCTACATTGAGAACTGAGCTCTTACCTTTTTGGTTGTGAGCCTGAGCCTTTAACAGCTGCACCAGCTCTCCAGCTCTTATTCTTCTGCCTTGGGTTAAAGTAGAACCAAAAGTATTAATGAGGGTTATCTTTAGTTGTTGAAACTAGAGTCAGTTCAGATATTTCCATGCAAGCTTTTCATATTTCCCTCAGTTTATACAGTGACATGTTATCCTGGCCAGATATGCATTGCCTTGGCCACTGAGAGGACTGGATTCATGCATCACTCACCTGAGGGGGGCCATATGACTTCCTTCATCCCAAATATGTGAGTGAACATGACTGTGCCATCTATGAGCAAAAACTCGAAGACCTGTCCCATGGTTCTGTCGAGGCTCTTTCCTTCCCCTTCTGTGCCTCTGCCAGCATGGGATACAGGGATTCTGAGTACCTCTGTACCTGGCCCAAAGGACATGTGGATCAGCAGACAATGAGCCTTTCTTGAAGCCCTGGAGGTTTGGAACTTGTTAATACAGCATCGTAACATCACACTAAATAGTCCCCACTTTCAAATGTCTTTATGGACATGTATAATTTTTGATACCTATAATCAGTGAGTTCTAGAAGCTTCCCCTACTACCTTTTGGTTTGATTTGGTCCCTGGTTCATAAATCTGAACTTTATGTCACTCAGTGTAAATAAATACAAATGTTGCAGTACTTAGCAATGCGTGTGCTCCAACTGGCATTAGGGAAGAACGAAACAGAAAACGAGGTGTTCAGCTCTCATATTACTGTTAATTTCAGCCACATCGCTTTTCTTATTGAGTATAGTAATTATGTTGGTGTTGACTTTAAAATGTATGGTCTTGAATTTAGAACATTATTTAGGCAATTTCTGAAATGTGCTTCAACAGAGATGAAAGAAATATTTCTTAGATCCATTAATCCTACACTCTAGGAATAAAGAATAAGTAGGTCCAAACTTCAATTTAAACTTACTTTTATAATGCACTTAAAATAGAGTAGGTAATTAGATTTTTGATTGCTGGTTGGAATGAGATTTTAAAATCACTGAATTTTACATTGGATACTTGAAGCCCTTTGTTTTATAGCAGTTTCCTCTAAATTGAAACATTGTGTCCTGAAAGAGCCTCCTTAAAACTAAGGAAGTAAATTAGGCTTACATGTCTCAAGAAATAGCAACTCACAAGTTTCAAGAAGTTCCTGAAACTTACAAGATTGACAAGCCCCCCCCCCCACAAGGTTAGGGAAGCAGTACCTGGGGAGAGAAGACTCTCCCAACAGCCCAACAGTCTGCAATCACGTGTAGCAGTCTGCAATCACGTGTAGAACTCCAGAGATCTAACTTTCCTGAGCTGTCACCTATACCAGGATGGACATTTTTATGGTGTAGCTGTTTGAGTCATCCATGTACCTTTAAGTAACCCCTCTACCACACTCCTGGGAATAACTCCAGTAGACTCATTGTTTCACCAAGTTGGACTTTGGTCTGTCATTGGTTCCTTGTCTGAGAAGAGAAGACATTTGTTTATATCTCTCCAAGAAAAGTCACATAATACTTTTTGTTTTAAAAACAAACAGCCCCAAAAGTAATAGGTACAACAATAATAACCTCAAAACCAGATCTTTGTGTGCATTTAATTCATTCACTTGCTGTTTTATTTATATTGTTATTTTTCAACACATTTGTAAGTGTAATTAGACTGAAACCTGGTACTTTGATCATAAACAAATTACCTGAAAATGTCGTGTTAACTTAAAATAAGATGTTGGCATTGGTATTGATGAGGAAAATGCAGTTACATGTACAGGGGTCAGAGAAACAGTGGGGGAACAGAGGATCTGAAACTTGGACTGAATTTACTTCTGAATGGATAATATTTTAAGGAGGTTTGTTTCAACCTCATCCCTTGGGGGCACTTGAATACATCACAAAGCTGCGTACTTTTGGCTCAAGTGTCACCATCTACTTGTAAAACATCTTGGACCAGAAAACTAAGTACTTCAGATCAAGGATCTGGATAGTGTTCTCACTTCTGTTTCTTGGCGTCAGAGCTTGGCTTCAGAACTTTCATTCACACTTATTAGATTGCCTTCATAAGACAGATTAAATGGTCATCTACCGAGTGCTGGGTTTTTTTACTGCCCTTTGCCCATACTAAAAGAAACTTCATGGCTATCTAACAAAGGAGTTTCTTGGCTCTTTGAATTTCAGTTTGTACAAAGGCTAGTTTTGTTTCAAGACAAAGTCTTCCAGTTTGGAGACTGAGTAGCTTTTATTTACTTTTAATAACAGTGAATTCAAAATATTAAGAAAGGATTACAAGTTTTAGTTGTTAGAATAGCCTGGTTTTCCAATTTGTAAAAATTTTTCTTAATTATTGAGATTCTTCTTCTTCTTTAATTTACTGATATTTGCTGCAGGGATTGAACCCAGAGCCTTGGCCTATTTTTGACAAATGCGCTACCACTCAGTTCTATGCCCAGCCCAAGGTATGGCTGTGTCAGTTATTATGTCTAAACAGATCATTAAAATCCTAATTAACACACTCAAGTTCACATAATACATTAAGATTGTATTTGAAATTTTTAACTATAGCTGAAAACCTATAGAAAATTTCCTCACAAACACAGAAATTTAAAATCTACGTATAAATCATCCATGTAGTCCTATCATTATCATAACTTAAGTCTCCAAACTAGATTTCTCTGAGCCCCAGACTTGCATTTCCAACTGTATGTCTTCATTTGAATCTCCTCAATGAAATCCGAAACTCAATATGCCCTAAACCATACTTGTGTCCTTCCTCTCAGTCCTGGGTTTCCTTTTACCATTTCTTGCACAGAATGGCAGAAACCAGGGAATCATCTCAAAGCAACCTTCCTCCCCTCCACTATACCAGTCACAGCAGATAGAACGTGTTGGGATTCTGCTAACAGTCTGGTCCATTATTTCTTGCTTCCCCATCGGACTTCCCTCATCTTTTATAACACAAATCTGATTATGACCTTGTTACAGCTTCTTAGGTATATGGTAAAAGCCAAGGACCAATGTCTTTGTCTGTTTGTGCTGCTGTAACACAACAGCCTGGACAATGTATAAAGAAGATAAATTTCCTTTTACCGTTCCAGATGTTGGAAAGTCCAAGACTAACTGGCAGGTGGCATTCTAGTCTCTTGCTTTCAACATGGTATCTTGAGTACTGTGTCCTTAGGAGGAGTACAGTGTCCTTGTGGTAGATCAAAAGAGAGCGGGTCCACTCCCACAAGCTCTGTTTCAGAGTAGTATTAATTCCCTTAGGACCCTTCTTCCAATTCTGTTGTTTTGAGGATTACTTTTGCAACTCATGGATTTGGGAGGACACATTGAGATCACAGCAGTCAGTATGGTTTCCAGGATCCTGCAGAGACTGGCCTTTGCCCTTCTTTGACCATCATGACACTATCTCTCTGTACTCCAATCATACTGGCTACCAATGATTCCTTGATCATGCTATGCAGGGTAACTAGGTAATCAATTTAGCCCTCATCCTGAGGTCTCGGATCCTATTTCAGTCCATAGGTATTTGTGAGCTTGTTGATTATTGAGAGTCACACACTTAGCTATGCTATAGTTTCAAGGTACAAATGACTCTGTATATGTTGCGTTCTCTCATCACTATAAAAAATACTCACTATAAACTATAAAGAGAAAAGGTTGATAGTGGTTTGTGGTCTGAGAAGTACTAATCTATGACTAGGAAAGCCCATTGCTTTTAGGCTTCTGTTTGGGGTGTGTTGCCAGAGTTCTCTCTGGGTCTCTTGCACTATCAGGCAAACCATATAACATATCTTTATGTACATTTATTATTATCGTGTGGGGGGGTTACTTACAAAGAAACAAGCATCCAGTGCCTAGCTCCAAGCTGCTCAGCTCTGCGCCGCACAGCCACGGTTCACTTTTGCCCATGCCTCAGGGGCCAGCGGTCTCGCCTCGGGCCAGCGGTCTCACCCCAGGTCCATAAGTGTCAGGCCATTCTGTCCTTGAGTATGCCCGGCTCGCGGCTCTGGTCCCAAGATGGTGCCAACAAGCTCCTCCTTTTGCGGCTAACTCTCCACAGTCAATTATCAGCAGCAGGCCCCACCCCTTGGAAGAACCAGAACCCCTGGTGAACACAGGGTGCCAGAAGCAGACACAAGATAAACTGTTCATCTCATGACTAGGAAGCAAAAAGGAGAAAGGAAGAGGCTGTGAACCCACAATCCCCTCGAAGGGCATCTCCTCAGTGGCCTGAAAACCTGCTATAAGGCTCTTTTCCTGAAGGTTCTGTTGCCTCCTAACAGCACCAACCTGAGGGCATAGCCTTTGATACATGGGTCTTTGGACAGCAATCAGTATCTGAACTATAACATGTGTATTCCTTTGTCTTTCACATATGCTGGATCTCAGGATGTACATAGTACATCATTGCTTTGTAATTGACTATTCCGTGTTATGTTTAACTACCACATAGATGACACTGCTGAACTTTACTAACGTGAACTGAGTTCTTGCAATTCATTGAGTAGGAGAACTTAAAATTACTGAGGGAGAAACTGACACACCTTGGTATTAGGGTCTAGAATATTAAAACCATAATCTGCTTTAAAACAAGAGAATCTGAGGGCAGAATGAGTGCCAGTGCCAGCCAGCCAAGACGGACAGTACCTGAAAGGGGGAGTGAGGATTGAAAGAAAAAACAAGAGACAGAGAAAAGATACTTGGGAGGACTGTCAGTAGAGACTGCAGCCCCGGTTTATTTTAGCTCCACCTTTTTATACAGAAGAACTCAATTAGTTTCAACAGCTGTTTTTCCCACATGTATCTGAGGGTCAAGGAGCAGTCAAATACTTGTTGTGAACTCCACCATATAAACACATTCCTCCTGACTTGGCAGATTAGGTCAAAACACAAACTCTAAGTAAACAAGCAAGCCTGCCACAGCTCAATGTGCATAATGGATTAATAGCTCCCAACAAATGAGACTTAGCATATTGTTCCTACCAAACTTTTTTTATTGATAAGGAAATATATTAGTATTTATCCTCCACCTTAAAATCTAGAGGAAGAAATATTTCCTACTGTGTCAGAGTTCTTCCTTTTGCTAACAAATTAATTTTTCCCTAAATATAATGATTTTTACTTCTTTTTTTCATTACTTGAACCTTTTTATTGTTTTGCTTTTTAAGGGTTGGACACCTCAACAGTGGCTTGTTATTTCCTAGTCCAGCCTGATCCATGAGATGAACTGAACCTGAAGAATCACTGCTTCTTCGTCTGTGAGTTGGAAAGAGGATTGGGATGGTCTCACGTGCACATCCCTAGCCTAACTGCAGCGATGAGTTCAGACGAGAAGGGCATATCCCCAGCTCATAAAACATCCACTCCGACCCATAGAAGTGCCTCCTCTTCAGCATCCTCTCAGAGGGAAAGCAGGCAGGTAGGAGAAGATTTGGGGTGCATTTTATCATCTTCTGCAAATATGGCCCTGTTAAAACAGGATGGGATTGCTGAATCTGAAAGTTTGTTGTGGTCTTTTACTCCACAGGTCAGCTGGTTGTTTTATATAGATAAACCTGATGGTGCTGTAGAGCTGTTACTGTTACATCTCTGTTGATGGGGACTCTTAATCAGAGTACAGACCACAGTCAGGGGCAGGGTGCCACAGCGAATCCTGGTTGTCTTCTCACTGTGGCTGCCTGGAGGGGGAGGCAGCATCAGGACTGGGAATGTTCTGTTCCCTCTTCTTTCTGGAAGCTGCAAAAGGACCTATGAATCCATACAGGACCTCTTTCCATAAGACTAACAGCCGTCTCCAAGCTCTAGCCTCTGTCCAGCTTCCATGGAATCTCATTACAGACTCAAGAGTTAGGAGACAAAATTATAATATCAGTGAACTCTGAGCATTGAGAACTCAACATTTTTTAAAGGCAGCAGAGGAAGTAAACTGTCCTAGCTTATTTATGGTAGAATACATTCATTGTCCCATTTCAGCCACTTCTGTAAGCTATTTTTGTTTGCAGTTACTGCATTCCTATTTTGGGGACTGTTCTTCCAAGGTTGTGTGGGAATTTATCGTATAAATGCTTTTCATTGACAAAACAGTGGTGTTTCAGCCGACATAAAACAGAGAATAACTGTTTTCCATTATAACATGTATTGTGGTAGTGTTTCACTTGTACATCTGGAAATTTACAAGTAAAGTGTCAACACTTCATGGAAATTTTCCTTTAGGTAAGTTTTACTTACTGAACATTGCTTCCCTCTACTGAACTCCCATTTTAGGTGTTCGGAGCATATTGCTTAATTAAAAGAAATGTATCAGTTATTTTTTTCCGTTTTTTGTTTTTTTGAGGCAGAATCACGTACTGTATGTTCCAGGCTGGCCTCAAACTTGCAACAATCCTCTTGTGTCAGGCTTCCTCCCAAGTGCTGCAGTTACAGATGTTAGACATCATGCCTGGCTGTGCATGTTATTAATAATTCATTATGCACCTGGTGTGGTGGTGTATGCCTTTAATCCCAGCACCTGGGAGGCATAGGCAGATAGAGCTCTGTGAGATCAAGGCCAGCCTGGTTTACATTGTGAGTTTCAAGCCAGCTGTTGGCTACAGGGAGACTCTGTCTCAAAAAAAAAAAAAAAAAAAAAAACACCAGAACAAACAAAAAACATAGTGTATGTGGTTCTTGAAATGGACAATTCAGATATGAATCTGTTCTTTATAGTAGGAATGCATTGCTGGCGGGGAGGGGGGAGTGGCCTTGAGGGAAACTTCAACCTCAAGCTCTTTTATTTCTAGTAAGAAATTACAAAGCCTTATAGGGTCTATACTGAGTTCAATATTGTATAACTGTATTAATTCAACTGTGAACCTAAAAATTTACAGCCACCTTTGAAAGAGATGTATCCTTGCTCTGGAAATTGTTATTGAATGTGTTAAAGCTGTAATGAAATGTTTCTACTAATCATGTGATTATTAAGTAAAAAAAAAAAAAGAAATTCCAAAGCCATCTGTAAAATTATTGGTTCCTTATGCATCTATCTTTCACAGATTCTAAGGCAGATGTTTGTACTACAGAGTCTTTGGAAATTCTTTTTCTGTTTGTTTGTTGTTTTGAGACAGAGTCTCCCTGTAGCCACAGCTGGCCTGGAACTTGCTAAATAAACCAGAATCACCTTGATTTCATGGAGATTGGCCTGCCTCTGCTTCCCAAGTGCTGGGATTAAAAGGGTGCACCTCCATGCCTGACTTCTTAGGGAATTATTGATTCAAGTATCCTTTGTTAATCAAGTTCAGAAAGGACACCTAGATACTGTTCCTTAGAAACAAGTCTACCGTTAACTAAATCTGTGATTACCTACAGTTGTGCTATTTAGTGTAATGCATTCGTAGAGTCTAAGAAACTCAGAGTACTTTGAATAGAAACACTTGCTATTAACTTACTGCATACTGAGATGCTATCTAAGTTTGCAAGCCTACCTTTTATCTGTCCCTCTGTTCTTTCTTGTTATGGTTTCTGTATTTTCTCCTTCCTCTGAGCATTAAAATGAGACATTTTAAACAGCTATAGCCTTCCTGGTTCCTTAGGGAGCAGGAAGAGATTGACCTAGCTTACCCTAGAGACTTGGCAAATAGAAAAAACTGATGACTGCAACAGAAAGAGCTGTCATGCCTTCTTGATTTGCCTGTTGCACCTGAGCTCCAGGCACTGCATGCAAAACAACAGGGAAGCTGAAGACTGGGCTGCCAGGGGTACCTGAAGGTAGCATGGGTGACCCTGACTGGCTTATGAGTGTAAAGTTTGGTGATGGGAAGAGGGTAGCACATCTGTAAATTAATCATGAATTCTAGAGAAGAGACACTGCCCAAATGGCTAGTATTTTTTTAAGGAGAGAATTTACTTTTGTACCTGTTCATCTCAACAGATAGAAATTCTTCCAAATACTTTTTCCTTTCCTTCCTTCCTGACTCCTGTTTTATATCTGCGCCTCTCCGTCAAGAGGGAGAAAAATGGAAAAGAATAATTACAGTTCTTCCCCCTCATCTCAATCACTACCTAAAACTCAGGTTGAACTCACAGAAGTTCCTGTGATGTGGTGTGATGTGATGTAGTGCTTTTTATATGTGTCTATTTTTGTGTAATAACGATTTTCATAGTATAAGAATGCAGAAAAAGTGTGATAAGTCTTTACTGAAGCCTTTCTAGTCTCCTGATTTGACTGACTTCTATGCAGATACTGCTAAATTGCACAGTTCAGCTCTTTCTCACCTAATCACATAAGGGATATAGTACATAGCTAAGAATCCAGTAGTATTTTAATGCACATTATTTACCTGTCCTTTGTTAATCACTAATGAACCAGTTGAGCATTTCTGCTTAGATGTCCTACTCTCAGATTGTGCTTTAAATTGATATGTACAACTCAGTTTGTTATCAGAACAAGCATTCTCAGGACATGGGGTCTATGCTGTGCCTTTCCCCTTGGCTTCCCCTATATTCCTGGGTTGACTTCTGTTGACCATTTCTTCCTCCAGAACATCATTTCCTTCTCCTCCCTCCACCAACTCCTGAGCCCAGACTCTCGTCATCTCTTTCTGGGTCTCACAGAGTACTCTTGGCCTTACCAGCTCTCTCATAAACTCACTGTTTCAGATTCCCTGACTATGGTAGATTCGGGTAATGCAAGATTTCCTTACTTGGTTGTTAGATAGCTTTAGTTGTCAACTTGACACACCTGGGTAGAGGGAGCCTCAGTTGGGGAATTGCCTCCATTGGACTGACCTGTGGCCATGCCCTTGGGGTTTTTTCTTGATTTTTGAGTGATGTGGGAAGGCCTAGTCCACTGTGGCAGGTTGTTTTGTATTATATTTCAAAGCAGGCTGAGCATGGGCCAGGGGAGTAAACCAGTACGTAGAGTTCCTCCATGGCCTGTACCCCAGCTCCTGCCTCCAGGTTCCTGCCCTGAGTTCCCACCTTGGGTTCTTTGATGAACTGTGACCCGGGAAATGTAAGACAAATAAATCTTTCCTCCCGAAGTTGGTAGTGGTCAAAGTATTTGTCACAGCAATGGAGAAACAACCTAGAACACTTGGTGTCCAGTAAAGACAGTGATCTGGTCCACCCCCACACCCCATTTTTGAACATGTACAGTCTTGTCTGCTCCAGTTCCTAAATCGGCCCTGTCTCTATCTCTGCCTTGTCTACATGGAGCTTCTACCCTCTTCCTCACTCTCTGATGTCTCCTTGGGTATCAAGGACGAGCTCATGTGACACTTCTGCTGGTGGTTCACAACCATTTTACCCCCTCTTTTCACTGAATTTTTCACAGGACTTTTGTATAATATTTGACATTTTTATATTCTTCACCTTTTGTGAGTTCTTTTAAATGGGATATTTTTAAAGACCTACAACAGTATTAGAGTTATCTTTTTTTATGTCAAAATTTGGAATTTATTGAGACAAAGGAGTAAGCAGATGGAGTGCACATTAGCACCACTATTATTTATATATATTTTTTTATTTTTTAGAAGCATTTCATTACAGCTTTAACATAATAAGTTTCCAGAGCAAAGATACACATCTCTTTCAAAAGTGGCTACAAAATTTTTATGTTCACAGTTGAATTAATACAGTTATACAATAATGAACTCAGTATAAACCCTGTAAGACATAAAATTGAATGAGGAACAGATGACCTTCCTAAAACAACCTTATTTTTACTGCTTTCAACACCCCTACGGGAGACTCATTTTTTGCTACTAACACTGAGGTGTTGGCACATGCGTCTCTAATCTGTATGTATCTGATTATTACTAGTCATAGTTGGTTGCACTTGGATCCTTGGCACCTGTCTATGGCCGTAAAGTCATTGGGTAGATTACAATGGTAATGTTTATCATCTCTACTAATTAACATGATGTAACTTTTTATGCTTCTTCCTCAAATATAGCTCATTTTTTAAAAAAATTGTTGAATTTTTGTGTGTATATATCACACAGACCATCCCAAACCATCTTATTCATCTATACACCCACTTCCCAGTTGGCACCCTCCCATAGCCTCCACCCCTCCCGACACTAGAGCCCTTATACTCTGATATCCCTGCTACTGTCTGCTGTGTTGTTGCATCCCCCCCCCCCAGCCATTCCCCACTACTTGTCCATCTGGTGAATCTAGTCAGCCTATCTAGAGGTCTTTGTTTTAGGAAGGTCAGCTGTTCCTCATCTACCAGCAATCAGTTTTCAATATTCCTTTAGATAAGATTGGGGTCTGCTGTTCATTTTCCCGGTTCTATGCTGGGTTACTATCTGGGAGTCCCTTTGGCCACCCTGGCCAACAACTCAAAAGAAGGTATCTCCTATCTGGCATTGTCGCTTATTATGTAGCCTTTAGCTATGCATATAGACTCTTAAAAAATTACATTGGCCCCTTTAATCT